TGATTAATCAACTATTTTATGTTACACTATTTGATATAAATAGGAAAAAAGAATCAAAATTTTAACAGAAGGTAGAGAGCGTTGGTTGTTCATAGAATTGCTATAAGAAGTATCCAAAACAAAGTAAATGCTCCAATAAAAAATACACAAACAAGTAAAGTGATACTAGTTGGATAGATTTTAAAATGGTTTTCAATCCCTAATATTTTCCCTTTACTTGTTTGTGTATTTTTTATTGCAGCATTTATTTTGTTTTGGATACTTCATATAGCAGTTCTATGAACAACCAACCGTCCCTACATTCTGTTGAAATTTTTTTTTCCTATTTATTTCTTCAGTTTGTATATGTTCGTGGAATGGGCACAACATCTATAAACTTACAATATAGCCATATCCCTGCTAGCTATAACTTTTACAAAAATTAGAGCCACAATCACAAATTTATAAAATGTAACCCTTACTTTGGCCTACAGATAAGTGTATAAAGCTGCCAAAGTAGGGATTGAATTTTATAAATTTGTGGTTGTAATTCTTGTTTCATTACTTTTTTGTAGCATGATCCATACTTGATTTTAAAATTAATAATTTTTTAATACTCTTGTCTGTTTACTTTATATGTTATATCTGTATAAGGTATATACTTTACCTTTAGAAAATGTTGTGTGTCTATCCATCGATGTGTAACACCATCTGTTGGGTAGAATTAGCTAAAAGATATTTAAGTATGTGCATGATATGTTTACAATTTATAAAAAAATCTGTATATATTTATTGGAATATCAAAAGTGGATATCCACAAACCAGTCAAGTAAGTTGGAGAAATCTTTTATTGATAGTTTGAGTAATCTAGTGGCTAGCCCCGCTGATGTGATCAGGTAGGTAGGTAGTAGACAAAAAAAGTTGCTGTTCTAGAAACTTTTAAATTGTTGTACCGTTATAGCACATTATTTGTATAGATGCGCATAATTTATTGTAACCAGTACTTTGAATGGTAGATTTTTCATTTAAGAATTCAAATGGGTGGTTTTTCAGTGCATGAAATACTTGGAAACCTTGTTGATCCCTACTATTAAGTATTATTATACTTAATAATAAACAGTGTTCATAGGTAATTGAGTTTATCTCCCGGCTGTACAAAAATCACACCTATGCTTTGAAAGTATGAAAAAAAAAAATCAAAAATAGTTTGACTAGTGTGGAATTTGTTCTTTTAGTGAAACTCAAGTTTAATCATTAAAGAATAATTTTATAAAATTTCTTTATCAAAGTTACCATATAGTTTATAAATCTAATTTACATTTGACTTTAAAAAAATATACATTAAAAGATTTTCTTGTGTAACCTCAACAAGACAATTTAAAATGTTGTATATATATTTTTTTAATTTAGGTTTTACAGCTAATAGTGTTTATATTTTGTTGTTGTTTATTTTATTCATTAACTGCAGATTTTGCACTCAAAATTAATGTATGACTTAGGATTAATATAATATGATTTATTAGGAGTTGATGAAGAACAGGAAGAAAGAAATCAAAATTATGAAAGTGATGCTGAAGTGGAAAGAGAAAATGTGGCAGAATGTAGTGATGATGAAGTAGAAAGAGAGAACTTAGTAGAAGATAGTGATGAAGAAGTAGAGAGAGAAAATGTAGTAGATGGTAGTGATGAGGAAGTGGAAAGAGAAGACATAGCAGAAGGCAGCGATGAAGACGTAGAAAGGAATAATATTGCAGAAGGAACTGATGATGAAGAAGAAAAAGGAAATGTAGCAGAAGTTAGTGATGAAGAAGTGGAAAGAGAGAATGTAGCAGAAAATAGTGATGAAGAAGTAGAAAGAGAAAATGTAATAGAAGGTAGTGATGAAGAAGTAGAAAGAGAGAATGTAGTAGAAGGTAGTGATGAAGAAGTAGAAAAAGAGAATGTAGTAGAAAATAGTGATGAAGAAGTAGAAAGAGAAAATATAGCAGAAGGTAGTGATGAAGAAGTAGAAAGAGAAAATATAGAAGGTAGTGATGAGGAGGCAGAAAGAGTAGCAGAAGGTAGTGATGAAGAAGAAGAAATTGAAAAGGATAATGTAGCAGATGGAAGTGATGTGGAAATGGAGAATGAAGCAGAAAGAAGTGATGTTGAAGAACAGCAACAAGCAGACAGTGAAAATGAAGCTGATAGAAATGAATCTGACAAAGAAGAATTTGCTGATGTAGAAGGAGAAAAACAAGACAGTGGTGGTGAAGATAGCATTGCTCAAGCTAGTGATGAGGATCAAGCCCAAGACGATGAAGTTAACCAAGGAGTGGAAGAGGAAAGTGTACATGAAGGAAATGAAGTTAGTGACCATGATGAAAGAAATGTAGCAAATGACAGTGATGATGAAAATAATCAGTCAGCTGCACTAAGTGATAATGAAAAGAGGAACAAAGAAGTTCGCAAACATTCTGCAGCTTCTGATTCAGAAACAGAAGAAGGAAATGAGAGAAAAGAAGACCTTGAAGAAGAAGATAGGAAATCTGGTGCCTCAAGTCCATCATTATCAACTGCAAGGTGTGTATAGATTGCAGTAATTATTCTGTGAAACTGAAAGATCATCAAGACATGGTGGTCAGTTTGAGATGTGTAATGCATATGTTGGGAATTTCAAGTAGAGGTGCAAACCTGTTTGAATTCAGTATCAAACTTGGCAGTCAAGTTTCACTTACAATGTGTACACACAATTAAAGCCTTTTATAGTTTTGAGAAAGAAGCTCATTTTTAGTAGTCATAAAATAATTGTCTGAAAATCTGTTTTTACTCCACTTTCAGAAATAAAGCAGACTCTGATGATGATGGAGATGAAGAGACTGAGATCAGTCCTAGTAAGATCATATCTTTTGGAAACTTATTACAGTTAACAATTAAAAATATAAAATCTTGAATTAATTCTCGGTCTGGTTTATTATGATCATATAGACTGAAAAACTAAGTAAAATTATTTATGTATAACATATCGTACACACATTTTTGTCTTTGAAGTAAAATTTAAATTTCATACACCAAATTTGAATTTGTGGTTGGTAATTTTGTTTAGTGTGAATCATGGCACGAGCTTGAAACTATTGTATGTATGATAAAAGATCCATAAAAATGTATGAAAATAACTACTGCATAGTAAGTTACATGATTTGTGCTCAATTTTTAATGTACTCAAAGATAAATGAAATGTTCAGATAATCCTAAATGATATGTTAAAACTTGATTTGATGAAACCAGCTAAAATATTCTAGTTGTAATACATTATTCAGTGTGATTTTTTTTTCTATTTTAGAAAAGAAAGGTAAAAAAAGACAGAGGCTTAGAAGTGACAGTGACAGTGAGAAAAGTGACAATGAAAATGAATATTCTAGTTGTAATACATTATTCAGTGTGATTTTTTTTCTATTTTAGAAAAGAAAGGTAAAAAAAGACAGAGGCTTAAAAGTGACAGTGACAGTGAGAAAAGTGACAATGAGTAAGTAAGCTTTACATCTGTATTTCTGCTTCGTGTCTTTATGATTTTGTTTTTATGGTAACTATGGAGTCAGTTCTCCTTCTTTTAAGAATCATCCAAACATTGCAGATTGTTTTGTTTGATCTTTCAGGGTAAAAATACCCAAATTATTATTATTATAAGAATGAAATATAAGATAAATTACATCAGTTTCCCAGTCCATGTAGTGTCAGATATAGATAATTATAAGAAGTAAAATAAAGTTTTAGGAGTTTCATTATAATAGAGGTATTATGTCCATAAGAGTTAGGTTCTACTGTTCTATAATTTTTTATTTCACTTACAGACTGTACCCAAATCTGAGTTTCATGTTAGTTTGCTTTATGTTTACTTCACATAAGAGTTAATATTACTTTTTGTGGACTGTTTAAAATATCAAACGTTGTAAAAAAAGGGGGTCATTATAGTGATACAATATTATTATTAAAACTCACCTATAAAAAAAAACATTATTCAGTTGTATGTCTAATCTTTTGTTTTTAATTTATTAAATCTAATAAGACATGTTATTCTTTTGTACATTTTATTTTGCACTTTTCATTTAAAAGATAGAGAAGTACCGACTTAAATTAATAGACATTCCAGCAAAATATCTTAAGCAAGTTTTTAGTTCAAAGTGATTTAGATAAAAGCATTAGATAACCAAATGTAGGTAACAGAATTGAAATTTACATGTATTAAAGTTTTTCAAATTGTTTTTAAAGGGATTATCTTAAAACTAGTTTAATTTCTAAACTCAGTTACTTGTAGAGACTAGACTAGCAAAGTAATTATTTATTACCTCGACAGAATTAATTTTCAACACTAAAACCACACACAACTTGGCTAGAGAGAATATAAAGATTATACCAGCTAGTACTAGTATTTAGGAAAGTTTTATGAAGAAGTTATGTAACTTTATAAATTTCTGTTGAACATTGGTAGTAGCAAATAACTGCTTGTATGGGGAAACAGTAAATGTGTTTTTTCAATGAATCATCACTTATTTATTACAAAAGTAAATACATTAAGCCAAAAGTCAAGTAACTTGGATACACTAAATGTACATGTTCTTTAGTTGGGGATACCTAATGGCTAATGGTCTTCAAATCTTTATGCTGGGGGCAACTGAAAATGAGGTTAGAGCAAATAAGGTGGTTTTTTTGCCTCACTTTTCCTGTACCTTCATGTAAGGCTTAGAGCACACTCCACATACACAGTCCTAATGATTTTAGGAAAAAACTTGTTGTCTGAAAAAGGAAGAATTTATGTTGATGTAGTGTAAATTTCTTTTATATGTTCTGCTTAAGGTTTAGGTGTAGTCATTTTGATAAGATTATGAAAATGTTCTTCTCTGTAATTTTGTCTAAGGTTGAGATTTTTTAAAAATATATTGCATGCGTCAATTCCTAATATAAACATTAAAATTTTTTAAATGTTTGTAATAAAAATATTATTTCATGTAAAAATTTAAAATATTTCCTTTAAAGCTTTTCTGGGATTTGGTTTATTTTTACTTTTATCTTATGATCTTTGTTATCAGAAAAGAAAATCAAAAGCCCGAGCACTTTCAAAAAGTTACAAATTTACACGTTATGAAGGAAAGTTCACTTTCTGAAAGAGTTCAGGCTATTGTTTATGTTGATTCTGCATGCTTTTGAATATCATTATGAAGTTTATTGTAACCCTTTCTTTAAAAAACATAATTTTATCATTACATTTTGGATCAAACTTGTGACCCATAATATAAATATATAATTGAAATGTCAAGTGAAATATACAAGAATAATTTTAAATTGTTCTAATTTATTAAAATTCTTTAGCCCATTCACAATTGAAATTATTTTAAGAGAATAGTAATAGGCATATATATATGTAGTACTTGATTGTTAAACAAACATACTCAATTTTAGTGTATATTCTTAAATCTTTGAATTTTTTTCCTGTATGTCACATTTCCATGAAAATATATTAAATATTTGACTTTGAAATGTCTCATGTGTACTTTAGAGTATATATAGTTTTAAAGTTTTTATATTTAACATTGTTTTGAATTATTCAATGGTTCTATTGTAAAAGTGGCATACTTATAGCATAAAGTTATGCAGTATTGAAAAAGAACAGACTATTCTTTATTGTTAAGGTTTAGGTTTCAGATTTTGTTTGTTCAGGTTTGAGAGTTGATAAATAACATAAACATGTAGATGATGTTTTAAACATCGGAAATGATGCATTTAGTAGGTCCTGATAATTACAGTGGGAAAGTGGGTGATATTTCTAATCATTAATGTTAAACTTTCAGTAAAGAGAATTTTAATTAAGAACAAAAACTGATTTTTAGATCAAATGTGGGAGAACTGATTGCTGATATTTTTGGAGAAAGTGATGAAGATGAAGAATTTGAAGTAAGTTAACAAGGGTATTGGATTATAAAAACTAGAAATTTAGATAAGATTTGTAAATATTTTTTGTCAATTTTTTTAATGACTTTGTAAATAAAGATATAATATCGACAATAAAACTGTTTATTAAAACTGCAAATAAAAATGGTCTAGTTTTTGATATGGAAATCATTGTTTTCAGTTTAAAGAAAGAAAGATTGATCTGAAATTATCTTGTAAAAACTAACTTAGAAATATTGAACTCAACAAAATAAACAAAAAGATGTCATCTGCTTTACAATTTTATTATAGGGATTTGGTGAAGAAGATGTGCAAGCAGCAAAGGAAAAGAAAGAAAAGAAAAAGGTATTTTGCATAGTTTATTGAGCTTCATCCACATGTGATAGTTAGGAGATATCATATTAAAACTCTTTCAGCATGGGTTTGGTCCCTGAGACCGACCTCATAACCATTTTGTGCTTGTTATAGTTTTCATGCTATAACTTTTAAATTAGTAAGCAAATGTTAACGAAATTGGGCAGATTAACAGTAAACATTACAATGCTTTCACACACAAAATATATAATTTTTTTGTTAAGTCTTATCTTATTTCTACTTTTAACTTTATTACATCTTTTTAAGGGTAACTGCCTTCCTACAATTGGCTGCAGAGAGTGAAAGGCAGTAAGAGTTGAGACGTTGTGGGTGTAAGCACTCAGCTCTGTACCCTTATTGAATTTTTTACGACTGCTGACTGGTTTCTTGTCTGCTTTTTGGATTTTGTCTGATAGATGGGATATCCCCAGCACTTTTGGGTGCTAATACCACAGGCAATCTCCATTATGACTTTTGAATAATGACTAGAAAGTGTGAAGGTTTTTGTTTTTTCTTAAATAGAGTTTTCAATTTATATTAAGTTCATTATCATTTTAAAGTGCTGATTTTGATCACCTATTGACAATTAATGTAATTGACATAATAAATTTGAAGCTATATTTGTGAGCTTAGAATTGTTTTTCTAAAAACAAATTAAATTTTTTAACTCCTTCTGGTTAGAAGCTTGATGATTTAACATTATTTAAAGTGATAGTAGAAAAGCTTCAAGTCACTTTCTTCTTGGGTAGTTGCTCTTTGCTGAAAGTATCCAAACAAAAAAAAAACTTGTCTTATGTGAACTTTCTTCCATTTTTTATGTTTTGACATTATTTGTTCCAGTTGCATATAGAATTTTTTAAGCTGATTTATAAATAGAAGGAGCACGTTTACAATACCTGAATGTTTTTACATTGCTGTATCACCTCAATGCTAGAAGCACTAGTAGCAAAATATATTTTATCTCTAAGTACAGTTACTGTAAAGCTATTGTATTCAAATGATACCACATTTTTTTAAGGTTTCACTTTTCTTGATGGTATGTATTTTAAAAATGAGTACATTTTGAGCTATAGCCAATGCCCCAGTAAATTGAAAAGATTGAAACTACTGATGGTTTTTAGATATTATACTGAACAGCCATCAAACACAATTGTGAAGTTTTTAATTTATTATTGGTTACAATATTTCACTAATTTCATACATAAAAGCAAACATTCAGATGCAATTATTTGTTGTTTTTTTTAGTTGTTTCAGGTAGTGAATCAGAAAAAGAAGAAAAAGATGACCAGAGAGACAAGTCTGAAAAAAACGATGATGAAAAACTAGTCCATGAAGAAGAACAAAAAAAAGAAGAAAAGAGTGTACATGATAGTTCAGACAGTGATGAAGATGATGTAAATAGAAAACATTCGAGGTCTGGATTAGTTGTTTTAGTAATTTAGGGAACATAAACAAATGCAAAAATTTCTGAGATGTCTAAGATAAACATCAGGTTTAGTAGAGCCACTAGTTATTTTTCTGCTGGACCTTGTCATTCATTAAGTACTGAAGGTTGTTATCAGTATGTTTCTGGTAGGATATTTCTTGACCATTATGACAGCAAATTTTTGAACAGTATATAGTTTTCTCCTGGAACAATGTTCTAGCATTACCTAGATTTTTAAAATAATTACAATTAATGGCACCAGGACAGACTATAGTTAGTTGCTCTTGTTGATCAAAACTATTGATTAAGATACTAAATTTCATGAATAATTCATTCTTTTTTTTCTTTTGCTTATTCATTAATGATTCAAACATGTTTCTAACTCACTTCCTGTCTCTTCAGACTACTTTTCGAACTTATTGGCCATGGAAAGTATTGTTTGGGTTTGATAATACTAGTTTTCTGTGTCAAAAGACAGGTTGTACTCAGTCCCTCATGATATAATTGTATAATAGGTGTGAAATAATTAAAGGTAATGTTTGGAATTCAAATTAAAACTATAATTACCAACATCCTTTTTATAAACTTGAACCATTTCTTGAATTTTCTAAGGAATATTTTGTCTAAACAAGAACCATTCCTCAAGTTTATAAAATAGTGATTTCCTCCTCTGTTCTTAACTGTAAACTACAAATCAAGTGCTACAACAATTAATGAACATTAAATGATATATCATTTATCTCATCAGAAGTCTTCCTAATTTTAATTCAAGATTTGTATCTAATGTCTCACAGAATATTTTAGTTTCAAAACAAAATATGGAGTGACATCTAGGTTTACTTGATGATACTATTTTCTCTTGATTTCCATACTTGTTTGATAGTGTAATTTTGTTCATATCTAGGGAAGATTTTGTATCTGACTTTGAATTAATGATGCAGAAGAAAAAAGAGAGTCAACGTAGACGAAAGAGGAAGGATACTGACATCATCAATGATAATGATGATCTAATAGCAGAACTTATTAATCATATGAAGACAGCTGCTCAAGTATGTAGTGAATCTTCTAAATTTGAATGAAAGTTAAATGACTGTTGTTTTTATAATTCATTGAACAGCAACTTTTCATTAATGTGACTAATTTGTTCTAAAGATAATTGTCTTGTATCAGCCAGTGAATAACACAGTTGCAAAATTTTCATTCTTTCAGGAAATAGGCTTCTTAAAAACGAGCAGCTCAAAATTAGGATGAGCAGCTCTGTATTTTTTTTTTCTTATTTTACTGACATTGGTAATATTATATGTAAGTTTTTGGAGTGAAAACTACATATGATATATATTTGTGCATGGGTAGTTTAATGATACATTTAAAAAATCACTGTGGAGAATTTTTGACCTGTCAGTGTAATTACTATTTGAAAATGGTGTTTGGTGTGTTCTGCCAAGTTTGTTTATAAAATTTATATTAATTCATTCATTGTATTTTATAGTACATAAAGGTTTCAGTTAAAAAGTAAGATCTTCCATACACAATATTTTTCCACGAGTTGATTATTTTGTTAACCTATTTAAATTAAAATCTTGATCAAATTCCTGTGACTCTTAGGGTCATTAAGGTAGTGATATCTAGGTCTAATCCTTAAAAGGAGTTTACTTCAGTGGGTTAAAATAAATGCATAATAATTCATAGGTAGATTAAAATGAGTGATAGACATGTATTTCATAACAGAAGTATTTTCAGTCAGTGTAAAGATTTTGAATTTACTCTTTTTATTGTAAAAGCCAAATTCTTTGTTGTGGTTTTATTATACATTTACTTTATATCTAGAATTGATGTTTCAGTTAGTTCCTTTACTTTGCAACTGATTCTGAACTCAGCACTGTAATATACATTATTTGAACAGTATTGAAGGGGTAACAATGATAGTTTTTCAATAACAAAAAAGAAATTACTTTAAAGCTTAAGAAATAGGGTGTTTGGAAATAGACTGTTGTAATTTTACTTTATCAAATTTTATTGTTGTTAAATTATTGTTTTTTGATACATTTAGGAAGACAGGAATCTAAACAAGAATCATATGGCTGCTACTAAGAAGCTAAAGCTTCTTCCAGTAGTGGTTTCCCAGCTGAAGAAACAGGATTTGAAGACCTCTTTCCTAGATCAAGGTGTCCTGAATGCTATGGCTGAGTGGCTAGCACCACTTCCAGATAAGAGTATGCCTCATCTCCAGATTAGAGAAAACTTTCTCAAGTTGCTTTCAGAGGTATGTTTCACTTGAAAGCTTTTGGACTTGTTAAATTTGATATGAAATATATGTATATAATACAAACATCACTGAATGCTTTTTTGTTTTGAAGACAGTATTGTATGTTTGTATTTGTATGCTCATGTAAATCATTCAATAGCATTAAGCTACTTTTGAGATTTTGAAGTCACCCATACCTGTTGTTAGATGTTTCGCCTAGTTTCAGTGATGTCATTAAAGCCAGCACCTGGAGAGTTGCCATCACTTATAAGAATAATTAGCGGCTGTCAATGATTTTTTCATCATCATTCACAATTTCTTTATTTTCCAATGCCAGTCTTTGAGAAAATCCTGGTTAGAACCTTGTACAGCAGTCTGGATTCTCCATAATTTATTATATATAATATGTTTGCAGTCCAAAAGGTATTGCAAATAATGTTCAATCCATGTTTGTCACTCTATTGTATATGCAATCACTATTTTTCACTTCAAGTTCAAAGTTAAAAACAAAGATGAAACATTGATGATCAAGTCTTTTTAATTTAGGATTTTGTCAAAAATCATGAGGTAAGAATGTTTCTGCTCTATATTACTTTAAAAGAAGATATTATTAACTTAAATGAAAGCAAAAGTTGTAATATTACTTTAGTAAACAATAATTTTCAACCTGCCATGAAGATGCATCTTACAAAGCCAAAGGATCTCTTACATGCAGCAGTAAAGTATTAGTATTGTTAATATTTATAATTGCAATACTAATAATAATATACTGAGTATTTGTATAATTCTATTTTGGTTTTAAATTTTAAAAATTTCCAGTAAAGTATGCCCCTTTACCCCTCCCCTTCTTTGAAGAGATTTGTTCCTGTGGCGGGTACTGTCTATGGGGGACCAAGTAGCCACCTATCTGGATTCTTAATGACATCACTGAGTGTTGTGAGAGGGTTGTCTAGTTTCTTCAAAATACTGAACAAACACTTATTTAAGTTGTTGTTTAAACTATACAAGTTTTTCATAAAGCACTTACTTTAGTGTAAAAAAAAACTATATATATTGTTACGTGTCTGCTTGTTTGTTTGTTTCCGGTATCAATTCCTTTCTGAGGATCTTCAGCGAAACAAGTCCTTTCTTG